TGTCAGCCCTGCTGCTTATAATGGCATGAGAAGGGCCACTTAACTCATAATCACTCCTCTTTCTCCCCCTTTGGCTCTGTCATCGTCTCTATACCCCCACACCAACCCTGTCGACTCTGATCTCTAATGAACTGCAGATCAAGAGCAGGGACAGTGGTCCACACCCCCTTTCCCCCCTTTGGCTGGGATCCTGTAATCACAGGGCACTTGGCTAGTAAGAGGCCAACAAGCCTTTGAACGAGAAATGACTCTACCTCTAATGCATCAGCCAGCAACTTTGAAGAGCCATTTTCTGGCAGAGGGGCATATCACAGATAGGAAAGGTCAGGTCACCACCACCACCGTCATCATCATCTTTACAGTCATTATGTCTTATTTCATTCAGCGGTGTAATTGAAAATTGGACCTTTTATACAATTATTTTCATTTGCTGTCCATTGCCTAAAAAGCACAAACTTGCCACAACATGTCATGGTAATTTATCCCCCAGGGTGCACTTTGACGTGCGCTACCCTCACAAAAACTCTCAGCAATCACACAGAGGAACACACTAGCTAGGTGGTGCAGTATATGTTGTGCAGAGACAGAGGTCAGCCATTCTGGCAGAGGCCTGCCTGTCAAGTGCTGCTACTTGTGCCGAGCTCTGCTAATGGACTACTAATAGAAGTGAATGTTGCACTGTGAAGCTCCCCTGTAGCTGAGAGTGTCACACAGGGTGATTAATGACACACTCTCCTCTCCTCCCCTGTCTGTGCTCCATATCTCGCTTTCACCCTTCACTCTGCCTCTCTTTCTCTCCACTTCTACCTTCAGCTCTCTCTCCTCTCAACTCACTACTAATCTTTCTGTCCCATTTGCTTCTTTTGTGTCCTTGCAATCACCCTCTTCTCACTTTCACCATTACACCTCTTGTCTTTTCATATGCCTCTCTGGAAGGAAGGGGGGACTACACCACACTAGAACCTGAAATTATTCTTATATTATTACAATAGTCAATTTACTTGCAAAGCTCTAGTTTCAAGTAGCTTCAAAATGCCTCCAATTTGAAACCAGGAAGGAAACCTACAACAAAAGCCTCCTTAGGAAAAGAAAAATAATAACTTTTAGGATTACTTTATTAGAAAAGGCATCCTTCCACCAGGCTGGTCAGAGAGCAATACCAAGAAAGATATTTGGGACTTTTAGCAAATGAGGTGGTTGTTTTTATATACAAATTAAACTGTGATAGGTTCTGAAGGCTAATTAGGCTATAGTTAAAAAAAAAAAAAAAAAAAACTAATTTTGACAGATTTTAGGCAAAATGTAATAAATTAGACTCATATAATAAAGGGCTTTTAAATTGTTCCACCTGAATCACATGCTAGCAATAAGGAGTCTCTGAAAGAGCATTTAGACAACACAGAAGGGACACAGATGTTCCAAAAATATAACTTAAATAAAATTTGACAAAAATACAGATGTGGTTGCACTAAGCAAAACTGGACTCATAACTTTAGTTTATTTAAAATCCTAGCTACAAGGGCAACAGCACACCAGAAGATATCCTCCTCTACAAGATGACTGCAGAACTATTCTCAGCCCCACAACAGCAGCTTGCATATACAGTATATACATTTTTGCTTTCCTAACAATAGTATATGACATCAGGAAAGCAAACTCAGCAGCCACTTTTCACAGTAATTATCACTCACTACCACACACAGACTGTAGCTCAGCCAGCAACCAGCGTGCACCTCTGACCCCGCTCAGCGCTGTCAGACCATACTGTATACACCGTTTACTTTGCCCTCTTCCTTCACCTGCACATAGCTGAGTGTGTTACTGAATCTTAATGTCCTTCAATTACATAAAATTGCCTAACTGTAGGCGTGTCACATTACCAGCTCACTGGCAAAAGACTGTCATAGGAGGTAATTTATAAGTGCTGCTCTTTAGAAACAATGCGTTCATTGTACAGACCCGGCTTATAGCATCACCAGAATGGTTGTAATGTTAGTGGCCCCCAAGGAGCCAGTTGTCAGACCACAAGGAAGCCTGTCAGAATAAGCAATGATAGAAATAGCATTTATGTTTATCTGAATTCTTAAAGCATTGCTGATGTCAGTCTGAAGGGGAGCTTCATATGCAGAGAATAGCTACATCTGTGCACTGAGTCACAGCATTTTCAAAACCATACATATTAAATGTCCTTTAACTTTTCCCTCCATAAACAATCCTCAAGGGACACATCATCAGAAAGTGGAGAGGCAGCAGAGATGGGAGCATGGTGTGAGAGGAAGAGAGAAACATAAGATCAGCATTGTGGAAAAACTGAACTAATCCCGGGAAGGCCTGCATCAACAGGCTGGACTTCATGTCTCAAGTATCCGCTGCCCAACACAGAGAGCAGGCTATCTAAATGTCAGTGTTAAAGTACAATATAGGTCATACATTTTCATCATTCATTTATTATACACAGCCTTTGAATGACCGCCCTACTAATGAAGTGCATCTCCAAGTAATAATTCATGTCTCAATTTGCTGAAGGTTTAGGAACCCTACTTAAAATAATCTCCTTCTTTTCAGCTGCTTTCCCCTGAAGCAGACTTAACAGTTGAAATAAAATTAAATAATTAGATAAATCTCCTCGATTCACTGGCCAATCAGTTTCATGAATAACAAATCCTAATATTTCAGATGTACCCAAAAGATTTTTACCTCTCCCCCAAAAGAAACCCTGTTTAAACATCTCTTGCAGTCTTTTTTCATATACTTGTATACATTACCCTGTTTAAAAGGAAGTATTGCTTCTATTCTCATAACAATCCTCCATCAACTTTTAAAACACGCGCTCAGACACGGACACTGCACAGCTCTGCTGCAAATACCAAAGTCTTGCTCTTGCACCAAAGGTTTCCAATAGAGCTACAGTACTGTCACAGAGCCCCCAGCTTATATCTGTCTCAGCCCGTCTCCTTTGTCAAGTATTCAGCAGGTTAATGCGCACTCTCCTCAGTTCAAGTCCCAAAGGCAAAAAGAAAATAAAACATATAGCCAGATGAGGCATATATATATCTATACAAATATTGAAGATAAGTTCAAATAATTCACAGACAAAATATGCAGGAAGGGCATGGTGTTGTGCAGAGAGCCTGGGTAAGTGAGCCACTGTAATCACCAGTAGTTTTACACAGAAGAAGTGACTCTCCAGCGATTTGGAAATGTGTAGAGCTCATCAGTAGCCCAAAAATAGCGGGGCCCATTAATTAGCCTCAATGTTCTCCTGGCGTATTGACTTCTTAATGGACAGAAAAGGACCTTGTTCGTATTCCCATCTAATCAATGGCGTGGGGCTCTCGGGGTTGTGGAATGGGTATTATGTCATTTCACTCTGCCCTTCAGAAACCGGACCTGTGCTGCATTTCATTCTTCCTCACCCTCTTTCGCTCATTAACTATGTAGGAGTGGGATGAACGTCTGGAGTGGCTAGATAATGTTGCCCACAGACCCTCATCCGCGTGCTCAGATCTCCAACTTAAGTTTGTGTTTGGTCTTTCATAAGCAGCAAAGTTTTAACCCTAAAAAAAAAAAAAAAAAGAATCTTATGCCAATGATAAACATCTTTCCTTGTAGAAGTCAATCCTATGCAATCCAAAAATCTGCTAATTTGCTCTCAACATGTTATTCATTCCAGAAAGAGCAGATAAAAGCCCACCTACCTTAACTCCAGAGGCATACACACTTGGCATCTGACACACATACACAAACATTCCCCCTTGTACTGATGGTTTCCTCCTAGCTCTCTTTGTTTGACAGACAATCCCACAGGACAGAACAGATTAAGTAAATGGCTTCAGGTGCTGTGGCATTATCTCAGTGCCTTCCATAAATGACAGCCACTATGGTTTGCAGAAAACATCTTTCAACGGATGACTCCACTCGAAAGAAAAAGGCTGAAGGATTGAAATGTGCTTACTGACTTAAGTTAAATAGAAATGAACTGATTATATGAGGTGGTGTTCTGCTGAGAATAAAGACAGCAAATTCTAACTTCACTGCTCTGTATTTCAAACATGTGGATTATTCTGTTTTAATAAATCTCTCTCCTCTGTGCAAAGGTCAAGACTCGCTGGATACCATTCATCATTAGGATGTGCTTGTTTCCAAAGAGCGGACATCTCATTTTAGAATTATTCATGTGTGTGTCAAATCAAAACTGACCAACAATGAACCCTTTTGTAAGTTATGGCTTAAACATGGTAAATATGAGCAGCCCAGTGGATGGCAAAGGAGCAAGTGAATGAGTGAACATCCAGCCTCTTATCTATGAACAGAAGAAGCTGAATTAAAAGCAGAATTAACTGGATAAGAATCTGAACTAAAATTTAATTTGGTTCATAATAATGACAGCAAATGACGACCTATGTGTTATTTTTTTAATCACCCATAATCTTGGCATGGGCCAGAATAGGCTAATTAGACATTTCTACATGCTTTTCATATGAAATGCCATTTTTTAAATTAGCAAATCAATTTGAGCATGACAATCTTTAAGGATCTATTTAAGAAAATCTAAAACAGCAGCTTAAATAGGGGCTCAGTTTCACTTTGATGGTAACTGAAGCTCTGTTTGGAGCACAAAAGGCACTTCTTGATTTTTCTTGGAGAAACAGAATGAAACCTTGTCTTCTCCTCTTTCCTGTTTACTTAAATGTTTATCTAAATAAATGTATATCCCTAACAAACTGTACACTGCAATATTTTTTTAGAGAAGAGTTTATTTGGACCTTTATAGTTTGTCATATCTTTGAATAATTTCACCCACATTACTCAGAAAGATGCTTACTTTAAGCCTGCCTGCTTTGAAAACACAAATGAAGCCCAGGGTCAAGGTGATTTTTCTGTTACTACTGTGATTGTAAACCACGTTCAGGTGCTTCTGCTGCACCCTGCAGGAGTTTATAGAACTTTTACCAAAATTAGAGCCAAGTTCTCACGTCACAAATCAGGTTAAAGTTTACCTTGAGCCACTCCGATATCCACCAGGAGAAAAAGCAAAAGCCAGGACACGGTCAGCACCTCATCAGATAATCTCAGCACTCTTCTTCCTTCTCTGCCGGTTTGTGCGCTGTACCCCATGATGAGGAGTCAAACTCCGCTCTGAGGCAAGTCCGAGTCACTGAGAAATTACCCTCAAACACGCTTTAGTGTCGCTCGTTTGGTGCGCGCTGCAGCCAAAATTTCACCCCTTTTGCGCAAAAATGGGTTTGCAGAAAATATATCCAGCGCCGTTTTCTTGCAAACATACAAACTCTAACAGTTTATGGAGGCGGTTGCATCGCTCTCCGTCAGGGAAGATGCTGCATTATAACCTGTCTCCGTTTGTTTTTTCCTTGAAAGGCTCACTTGGTTTGTCTAGAGGTGCGGATCGATGTCTTGTCTTGGTGGCAAATTCATGCTCCGGTTTGTCACGCACACCTCAGTCTTGTGTGAGCTGTGTATGCGTGCGCCGCCCCTTGCGCTCGACTGACGGGACTGAACACGGGGAAGGAGTCGTCCCCCGCGGGCTACCTTGCTACTCCAGCCAATCCAAGTGCCCGGCAAGTGGTGGCGCTGCGTCAAAACCTGGCCCGGATGGCAGAATGGAATGGATGCCACTTATCTGTTGCATGACTAATGGGCGCCGACATGACAATCTCTGAAGTCAGCCATGCCACAGAAGTAGCCTGAAGTGATCGGGGGGTTTCACGTTGTCTCTCTAACCTACACTAATGATTAAATCAAAGTCTCAACAAAAATGTAGCTTTTTGTAATGTGTAGGTTATTTATTGTTAGGCTCAGTAGTTAGGAGTGCTCAAAAAAGGCTACTGGAATCTTTTACATAATACCACAGTATAAAATTACCCATTACACATAGCCAGTAGATCTGCAGTCAAATATAGAATTTCACTGATATGCAAACATAACTGACACAGCAGTTCCTATGAATGGCTGTGTGTTAGAACAAAGCTGAGTGACAATAGTAAAGATAAGCAAGAGCACAGAGCTGTTAAACTTAAGTGTGGGGTGTGTTGCTTGATACCATGAGGTCACAGAAGAGACTTGACTGCTTTATTACCAAGTTTGAAACTTTGGTGGTTCAGGCAGTGAATTGGCTGGCTGATTGTTTGACCTGGTTGCAGATGTAAGGCTGGTTCGTGCTGCCACGTATAAGCGAGGGTAGGACTCAAAAATGCACCAGTTTTGAGAGTGGTAATTTTCTCAAGTAACTGGTAACCACTAGTTGGACGGCAGCTGGACCACTGAGCGGGCCGTGGCATTCAGATGAAACCGCCACTGAAGATAGAGGGGCCAGCCATAGCCGTTTACGTTATGCAAATACAGTGTAGATATGAGGCTGGCTCAAGCCTCCATTGCCTGACACCCACTGAGGGGCCCAGTAAGCGGTCAAAACATCATTTAACATGAATACTGGGCTTTTCTAAGAACACTCACCCAATGTTTGGCACATTTGTCATGTAATATGAGCTGTGTATTGATACTGATAGTCCAGCGATTCCCAAAATAGAGGTCAGACCTCCTTCAACGAGTCACAAAATAAATTTGAGGGGTGATAAATATATTCTCAACTATTTCATTTACTATATGACTGTTTCTTTGAGTGTTATTTTAGTGAAATCATCAGTTTCATCAATTGTAGAGAGGAAATGTGTTTGGTGGAATTAATAACAATCCAAACAGGCATCCAAAACACAACAAGGAACCCTAAACAGACAACCTAACCAGTGTTTATAACTGCCAAATAAAGGTAATGAAGTAAAATCTACAACATTTCCCCTCTAAATGTATTGGAGTAGAAGTATAAAGTGGAAGACATTATAAATGTATTTTGCCATTACAGTATGTTCCTTGAGCACTGGGCAAAATCTGTATTATTTTCTACCCCTGTGTATTGCAAACAGGTGCTTCTGTTTTCTGGTAACTCAGCATATTTTGAGAACATAAATTGTCATTAATTTAGTGCGGGCACTGCAGCAGGAAAGCATAATTTATCTGACTGGGCCCTGAACTCGCCCTTGTTTCAGTCACACTAATTGTTATTTAGAAGTAGTAATAGCATGTCACAAAACCTGATCAATAATGAGCTCAACCTAACAGACGTGCTCTCAAACACACACAAATGCACGGGCACAGACAGACACACATGACTTTTGCTTTGCAGGGGGAAATTTGCTTCAGTGATTCTGATAAAAGGCTGATGATTAATTACATATGCATGACAGATGTCTCGGCAGTGCCCCTGACACTTTGTGATTAATGTGAAATATGAGCTTGACACTATCTTTTCAGCAAAATGAAACGTGATAACTTTTAAAATATGAATCTTATTTAAGAAGCATGGTATTCTCCTCCCCTCCATCACCACTTCTTTTTAATGTACAGTGATGCCAATGGGCAGCTGTCACCCTGCTGGCATTTCAATTTCAGGTAGGAAATTGCTTTTATTCTTGACTCAGACTGTTCTAGGATGGAATGATAGCTGCAGTTTGGGTTTTGAAATATACTACATATTGTATACATGCACAGTATTAAAAGAGGAAGACGCTCCTTTTGATATTTAATGAAAGCATTTATTCAACAAGTTGCTGTAAATGTTCCTCAGGGGAGGTTGATCCATGCATACTGCCCAGTGATTTATTCAACCTGCTATCTATGCAATCCACATCATCTCTGTATGGGTGAGATATGCAGAGTGCAGGAGCTATGGGAGGAAAACAGAGGTCACTGTCCTGTTCCTAAAACAATCTAGAAGCGATGTCTGGCATCTTATCTTGCTGCATGTATTCATTTGAGGAAAATGAACACACTGTGACCATGAAGGCCACATCATAACCTTGTTACCAATATGTCACTTCACAAATTTTTTCATATCAAGCGGTGGTTTTCTGCTTTTCAGTCATCCATTTCTGGCAGTGGCTCACATAACCTCATTTTCTTGTTCTTTGCTGACTGAAGTAGAAAGTGGCGTAGCCCTCTACTGCTGCAGCCCATCCAATTCAAGGTTAAATGATGTGTGCTTTCTGAAATGTCCTTCTGCACACACAGCTGTTGTAGAGCTGTCATTTATTTGTGGTCTGTTATCTTGAACAAGTTTTGCCATCATTGTCTGATTCCTCTCATGAGCCACTGAGATGCAGATTCTGGAAGCAGCAAGTCACATCCTCATGTCTCAGCCTGTATAAATTATCATCTCTTCCACTGTGAGCTTTAGTTACATGTATAGATATTGATATATATTCTCTTTCAATTCATTTTGTTTCACTGACATTACAGTAGATATAAAAAGAATAAAACTGAAATATGAAACATAAGAACTTAAAACTTGATACAATAGAACTCACTCACTCAGTTGAGGATTTACAGGGCATTAATAATATTTCCATGTTGTCTATTGTTTGGCTAGTCTGAATGCTTCACTGCAAAGAACGCGTAAGAGAAATTGGGAAGATGTCTTCAGAAAACATTCATGTAACATGAAATGCTCATCACTGACCTGTGTGAGCTTTTGAGAAAGGAAGTGACATGTGTGCTGGAGTGAAAAGCCTGGATATTATAGAAATACATATGTGTAAATGCCTCCCAGATTGCTGACATGCCCCCGTCAGCAAGTAACTCCCCTCACATGCAGACCTTTGTCAGGAAAGTAGCATTTTCCCCCACAAGAGTGATGGTAGATGGATGTTAGTCTCACAGGAAACCTGACACTGTAGTGCATGACAACCCCAAGAGAACAGCCATGTCTGAGATGCTGAAAGTGGAGTGTCTGAAGCAAACAACCACAGCAAGCTAAAAGTCACTTAAAATGTCTTGCCCATTTCAAGCTTTCAGTTTAAGAACAACTGAACCTCTGAGCCTCGTCTGCATGCTTTATAACTATATGCTTTATTTACACCTGATTCAGTCTGACTCACTTTGCTGTTTGCTTAAATTGCAAGGAACATGGAAGATGGATACAAATAGTATGTGTATTTATTTCATCACTATTTCTTCCAAAAATAGCAGTGTGAAAATCTCAAGTTCATCCTATTTAAAAGTTATTACCTCTGAAAAGCACAATACTCTGTGTCATGTTTGTCAAGGACTTTTAAGAACAGGTAAAAGTGCGGATTTGTGTTACCAGCAGCCATTTGAATGGAAGAAGTGAGAGATCTAAATCTAAATAAAAAGAAGGACAAGTGGGAGACATTAGTGCAAGTGTTTGAATCAGCTTCTCTGTTTTTAGTCACAGGGATGGCAGTAGGAGCAGTAATATTGGTCATTCAGCTCACCTTTTTTTTTCCTGATTTAAATTTTCTATAGATGTTCTGAGTTCGGTCACTCTGTTATTTTTCATCTTGGGCCATCAGTAGTTCAACATTGTCACTTATCCTGTGAAACATCTACTTGATGGATTTGACCTTTTTTTTTTTTTTTGGATCATGGTTTCCTGTATTAATCCCAGTGATGTTGACAACCGCCCTGATCCTTCCTCTGCTGCCACCAGGAGGTTCACATCCATGAGTTTTAGTGAACTATCTCAACTGCTGGATGGATCGGCATGAAACTTGGTACAAACCCGCTATAATAACTGGTGATCCCTTGAACTTTCCTCCAGCGCCATCATCAAGTCTAAATCTTAAAGTGTTCATTACACTGATTTCTAAAGAAAATACCTAGGAAAAAAATCTCATCAGTCTTAACTGTACTACTACTGTACGTGTGCTATATGGAAAATTTTTGCATACCAACATGCAAATCTAGGATGGTGACTACAGTAATTATTATACTGTATCTGCTAAAAATTAGCATGTTAGCATTGTCACTGTAAACATGTTGTATGATGATGTCACTAGCATGTCTGTATATACATGAACCTTTCGGCACTGCACATGTTGGTGCTGCTTAGTCCTCAGAGGACTTCTGTCTCTCCCATCAGGCTGTTGATCAATTAGACATAGCAACAGACAGTCACACAGATTGATAGGCAGACGAACAAACCGAGATATGCAGGCAGATTGATGATAATGCGGAGGCAGCGTAATGCAGTTTCTATGTGAAATCCATTTTGAACCTCATCCCATCCCCCTTCCCAACACCACACACAAATACGCTTTAGCTTCTTTCTAATTTTAAAGATAAACATCACTGAATGAAATGGAATTGGAAATTAATCACAGCTATAAATTAAGTCACCTTTAGGGGTATCCTCCTTCCTCATCTACAGAGTTACAGGTAGATAGTTTATGTTACTTCCTGTGCAGAGCTGCAGGATAGAGAGGAATTTGAATGATGACAAATGGCATAATACAATTTGCACACAAAGCGGTGGTTTAGGGGTGATTTTCTTTTTTTTTTTAAATACAATTTTGAGCCACAGAGAGACAGTGACTGGCAATGACGGCAGTATGTGCCACACAATAAAGCTGCTTTCCATCGCTTTGGGCACACTTTACTGCTGCTCTTGATATTAGTATTAAAAGTGATTTGCAGCTCCGTATGTGGCAAGGAATCAAAACTTAATTTAGGCAGATAAAGATGCCATTTGGGAGGGAGATAAAGTGCTGCATCATGGGAGATGTGTTCCACAGCCTGCTCTCAGCTCCTCACCCTTACAGCGCCCTCAGATTTACTAGCTCTTTTTTCCTGCTCCATAAAACAGCAAATCTGCTCGCCAGGCGACACAGGCAAATGTTAATGGATTCATTTGTCAAGAACCTTCCACTTATTTACAGTCCTCTTCCATTACCATTGC